TGCTGATGTATAGATGATGTATGTTGAAGGGTTAGATTCTTCAGGGAAGGCAGACTGGTGGACTGTTAATGATTTTAGTGCAGGTTGGCTGCTGGTGTTTGGGTTTAGTATTCGGTGTAAGATAGCTGTTACTGTTTGTCCTCTCAGGCTTGGGGGGCCCATTGTGCTAGATGCTGTAGAGCAGATGTAGCTAAACTGCGGCTAGTGCCTCATGCGGCTCTTCACCCTGCAAAGTGGCTGGCGAAGCTGCCCACTACGGCCCCTGGTCCCCGGCTTCCTGTGCTCACTGGGTGCAGGGGAGCCGTCCGGCGTGATAAGATGGCGGTGGCCGACAGGCGCCTGATGTGGCCAAAAAGGCTAACCCGTGTTTTTAAAGGGGCAGTGTCCTTTTTTAAATTTTTCCTCAGCAACTCTGGCTTGTGAGGAGATCTTTCCCTTTTTTTTTTTCTCCCTCAACAATTCTGATGTGGCTCTTCGCATTTTTTCTGCCGCTGTTTCGGCTTTCTTCATTTAATGGGTTGGCTACCCCTGCTGTAGAGATACAGTTTAAGCGCCGTTGAATGTGGATTGTCTTGCTACCTAAAGAGACGAGACAAGCAAAGGGTGGTACAAAGGAAGTATTGTTGCTGTTGTACACACAGACAACCTGGAGCTATGGAGTAGGGTAATTATAATTTGAGAGTAGCAAGGATAAAGGTTGAGTGGCTCGCTCAGAACATAAACTTTGTGTGACCAATCTGAGCAGCTTTAAAAAAGAATATTTTCCAAAAGCGGTGTGCTACAGGACACAGTTGGAGATCCCTCTGCATGTGGCCCCTGAGTTGTGTAACTGAAGGTAGACCTGCGAGATCTGTGGTGCATTCTGTCGATACCAGACTGCAGTTGAGAGAGTAGGATTTGCAAAGGTGCCTGAAGAAATCATGCTTAATATTTTTGTTGTTTGTGTCCATAAATTCTGTGTAATACTTTTAAAATGCCTACTCAAAAGCATTATGACTAAACTGCAAAGCAAAGTTTGGCTTGTGACATATTTTGCAAGCAGTTCACTGTTGGGAGTATCTCTTATGTACTACAAATTGTACACTTCACCCAATATCTTGAAGATACCAAGTGGAGAAAACTGTATACAGAAATGAGCTTATTTCTGTTGGTGAATATTCCTAGCAGGAGCCTACATCCTATATTAACACACAGAGAAAAGAGTGTGTCAAGCTTTTTTCCTCCCCCTGTCTCTAGGGAAGCTGACGGGAGAAGGAAGTCTCTGATCATGGAGGATCTCCTCCCCTGACCTTGAGACACTTGCTGTTTAGTACTCCTTTCTAGGCACCACATGCTGCTGCTGTTTGGGAGCAGAATGTAGGGATGTGAATGACTGGTTGACTATCCGATAAGCAAATGCTTATCAGATAGTCGACAGGCTAGTCGACTAATCACTTCTCCCCCTTGCTACCTCTATCAAAGAGGCAGTAGGGGTGGGGGGAGGGGGTACTTCAAAGTGGCAGCACCGTGTGGAGCCTGGGGCCAGACGCCGGGTTCCACGTGGCACTGCTGCTTTAAAATGCCGCGCAGCCCAGGGCCGGCTAAGGGGTCCCCAGGCTGCATGCGGCATTTCAAAATGGCAGTGCCACATGAAACCTGAGGTCTGCGGGGGAGGGAGCTCTCCCAGCTGACCCTGGGCTCCACTCAGTGCTTTTGCCTTTGAAGTGGAGCAACAGCCCCAGGGCTCTTGATACACTTCAAAGGCCGAGGCGCCCTAGCGACTAATCAAATAGTTGATGCATTTTGCATTGACTATTCGATGAGTCAGTTACTCGAAGAGAAGAGCAACAAGAATGATGAAAGGTCTAGAGAACATGACCTATGAGGGAAGGCTGAAGGAACTGGGTTTGTTTAGTTTAGAAAAGAGAAGACTGAGGGGGGACATGTTAGCTGTTTTCTGGTATCTAAAAGGGTGTCATAAGGAGGAGGGAGAAAACTTGTTCATCATAGCCTCTGAGGATAGAACAAGAAGCAACGGGCTTAAACTGCAGAAAGGGAGGTTTAGGTTGGACATTAGGAAAAAGTTCCTAGCTGTCAGGGTAGTCAGACACTGGAATAAATTGCCCAGGGAGGTCGTGGAATCCCCATCTCTGGAGATATTTAAGAGTAGGTTAGATAAATGTCTATCAGAGATGGAGACAGTATTTGGTCCTGCTATGGGGGCAGGGGACTGGACTCAATGATCTCTTGGGGTCCCTTCCAGTCCTAGTATTCTATGATTTTGATTCTAAATTTAACATCCCTAGCAGAGTGTGTGGCTGCTTCAGTGACCATAGTGTTGGAGCTCTGAGAACAAATGGCAAGACTTGTCCATTATTTCTGAACTGAGTTTTGTTTGCAGGCTTGAATTTTGGAAGCTCATTGCTCTGCTTATTGTCCTTCTTTCATTTGAAAATCAGCATTGCAGGATGATAGACCACCAATGATAAGAAAATAGAAGTTCTGTCTAGGAGTGTTCAGTGTTAATCTTATGATCTGTCCATAGTAATTCAGTTTGTAATGTGCTGTATTTGGGAAACACAGTGGTGTAAAACAAAGCGGCTCATCTGCTCGCACACAGGCAGCAGCGCAGGTGTAAGGGGGAAGTGGGAGCTGGTGCTTGTGCAGATCCGGCTTTTAAGCCAGTTCCTCACTGGCACTGGCACCGGCTCCTGCTCCCCCCCACCTTTGCTGCCTCTGATACAGAGCCAGCAAGGGAGCGGGGGGAAATGTGTGTAGTTGTTAAGCCTGGGCTTATTGGTTAATCTTATCAGTTAATCGTGTAGTTGTCTATACAATGACATCCCTAGACGATGACGTCCCTACAACCTAAAATGAACCTGACACTTTGGGATTACGGTTCACTACTTTTGTGGTTCTGAGCCTAAGGAAAGGACTATAGTCTGTAGTTTTGGCTCAAGCTCTTAGGTGTTTTTTTTTTTTTTAAAGTGTAGCATTAAGGGCTTCAAACTAAATTGTTTTGAATGCATGATTCAGTTGTAGACTACCAAGAACCCGTGTAGTTTATATACGTTGATTCTATCTAGTTATCAGGGCATTGCTTGTCCCCGTGTGGGGAGGATGGTTGAGCCAGAGAAGGCTGTTGTTTCCACTTTCATTTTCAGTGGGTTTAGGACATTTTGGGAGGGAGTGGGAGGCATTGTCCTCCCTCTTGCTCCAAGATAAAGCTGGGACTAGCCTGTACCACCATCATGAGTGGATGGTGGAAAGGGGGAAATCAGCCTGTAGGAATCGGTCATCTATTTACATTATGCTGACATGGAGAGAGCGGGGTGGAGAAAGAAAGTAACTTTCTGGTTCCTTTCATGTATGTTGTTTGTTCCGTCAAACTACTTGTTTCAGTCCATAGTTAGATTCTTTTTCATCAAATGCAATTTTCCATAACACAAATAGGTATCTGTGACATGGTAAGATTTTACTATTGGCAAACCATGGTAAGATGTTTCTGAAGGGAGCATGCCCTTACTAGATAGAACCTTACTGGCTGAAGAGAGGCAAGCGTGACAGCTATTTGGAAAGATTCCTGAAGTGTATTAATTTTAACCGTTAACCTTGAAATTTAACATTAATTGACACATACATTAGATAAAAAATTGTTGTCTTGTTACATACTGTATCTTGATACAGACAACCATGTAGAATCTTGACATTTATGTATTTTGTTTATCTTTTCTGTTGGATGATAAAGCAATCCTCTCCATCTTCCTTCTCAATTCCATTGTCATCCGGCCCCTTTCACTCTGCCTTCAAACATGCCACTACCTCTCTTATTCTAGAAGCTCAAGACTTTCCTTGCTCCTCTTGCCTCTGTTGTAGGGGTGTAAAATCCCAATCAGTTAACCATTAGGTTAACCTAATGGTTAACTGATCAACCAAGTAAGTAGGATCCTGGGCAGGGGAGCTTCTCCAGTCTGGCTGGAACAGTTCCCAGCCCATGGAAGTTGCTCCCAGGGAACTGGTTAACTGTTTCCCGGTAGTAACCGGTTACCTGTTCACTTCCCTACCCTATTGGATCGTCTTCCTCCCTCTCTTCATCCTTGTGGTCCTTTCCATAATCTTGGCTTTCTCACCATTAACTTTTGTTTAATCCTTTACAGTCTGTTTCAACCCCTTGCTAATCTGAGCCTGCACTCACTAGTGGTCTTTTTCTGGGTGAATCCAAAGGCCTTAATTCCATCCTCTGTATTTTTGACCTATCCACTGCTTTTAATACTCAGCGGTTTCACCCTGCTTCATTTCTTTTCTCCTTGGGCTTTCATAACTCCATGCTTGACTGATCAGTGTTTTCTTGCCTCTTGGACTGCACCTTCATAGTTTTCTATGGTTGTTTCATGTCTTCTTACTCTCTACTGATGTCCTGCAAGATTCCATCAGGAGCTTCTCTTTCTGCTTTCATACCTTTTATCCCTGTCTCATGGCTGCATTCCCATCTCTCTGTTAATGATGATTCCGAAGTCTAATTCTTCCCCCTCTGTCAATAGCTACATTTTTTGACATGTCATGCTGTAGTTTAGAGTCTTAGCAAAATTAAAGCTTCATCTCTCTTCCTTTGTCATCCCTGTTCTCCTGTCCCACAGTTTTGGACTCATTCTCTCAGTCTTATATAAGTAACTGAGCAGTGTGGAAAAGAAACATTTTTTGGCCTCTCAAACTATTATTTTATACTTATCATAACTGTTCTTTTCTCTTTGGAAATAACTTATTATAAAGATTCTGTAACTGTTTGTTTGTAACTGTCAAACTCTGTTCTCCTGGTTTCTAATTGTACTAAATCTTAGATTTCACAACATCTTTCAGTGTTTACAAATAACCAAGTGACTATTTGATCTTTAAATTGCTGAGGTGGTGTTACTGTCTTTTTTAAATCCCTTTTACACATAGAATATCTTTCCCTTTTAGTGATTGGATGGTTGCATTGAATTTTTTTTACTATATTTTTTTTCTTGTTTGCTTTTCTTGCACTTAAAAAGGCACCATTTTATTTTATTTATTTTTTTTTACTTGTAGCCCCATCTGTTTTGATATGATTGAAGAAGCATACATGACGAAATGTGGACACAGTTTCTGGTAAGATTTTTATGTTAAGCAAAATGTCCATCGAACATCCTATAAAATGCATTCATTACAGTTTGGTTAGAGTTTGATTTGCATGGACACTAGGAACTTAATTTTGTGTGTTCATAATTTTTTCTGCTCACCTTTTGTTAATTGCGACTTAATTAATTGTAAAAACATGTTTTAAAATTTTGATACCTACTTGCCAGAGTGAAAAAAAAATTGCTACCATACACCTCTTGTACCTTAAAGCCCTTGTGTTTTTTTTAATCTACTGTACTTGTAGGAAGCTGACTGATAATATTTCACCTATCTAATCATATTTTAAAAGGATAGAGGATGTGAACAAACTTCTTTTTTGAGGGGAAAATTTACTTGTCACTCATCAAGCCATGGCACATCACCTCTACCCCCTTTATCTCCAAATAGCTATGTTTTGCAAAGTTTTGCTAGGAATTGCCATATTGGTTCATAGGTCCATTTACTGCAGTGTCCTGTCTTCTGTAGTGGGTAGGACTAAATGCTTCAGAGGAGAGTATAAGCATCCCAACAAAGATGTGGGATAATTTGCCCCCCTCATTAATCCTCCTTATGAGCTCTGATTGAGATCAGTTTAAGCCCTGAAGTATAAAGCTCAGTATTACATGTGCATTTTGCATGCAGTTTGAATAGCAGCAACTCTTGTGAATTTTCTTAATCTTTGGTACATTAACTGATCTTTCAGTAACACGTAACACTAGTCACCCTACAGATTGTTAGGTTTCTTTTAATGGGGAATATACTCCCCCTTCCCCCCCCCGGCATTATGTTTCCAGGGGATGTAGCTGTTTCCATATGCAACATTCTCACCTCCTGTGGTTGTTGCAAGGCCTTTTGAAGCATCCATGATATAAAACCAATCCAGTAATATCAGTCCATTGTTCCAGTGACTGGTTTGTGGAGTGAGCTACCACAGTAGGAATGTCCCAGAGGGAGGATTGGCCTTGGCATCAAGGTGCAGTGTATGATTAGTGTGTCCCTGGGATTCTTAGCAGTGAAGTAGAAAGTCCCTTATGGCATGACATTTATTATTCCACTCTGCTAGAAGGAGGGGGGGAAGCTGAGGTCAAAGATTCTTTGTGTTTCATTTAAAGTTACTGAGAGTGCCAGATAACCCTGTAGCCTAGGTATGATGCCGTTTACTAAGTTTTTGATAAGTCTGGCAACGTTCCTTTATAAAGACTCCAGATACTGCTATCCTGTTCCTTGGCTTACAAACATGGTAAAAGCTGCCAGTCTCTGCTATCCAGATCATTTACTGATTTCAGCTATAAGAAATGGGTCTCCTGGTAGTCACAGACATTTAGGCTATGTCTACATTCTCAGCTTCTTGCGTGAGTAATATGCAAATGAGGCTAAGCAAGGAATACTGCTGATCCTCATTTGCATACCTAATGAGCCACCATTTTTTTCAGAAAAGGCTCTTGCACAAGGAGCGTCTACACTGCCCCTTCTTGCGCAAGAAAAACCTTGTGCAATGCCGTTCTTCCTGAAAAGTAATAGGTGTAACGGCATTGCGCAAGAGGATTTTTCTTGCGCAAGAAAGGGCAGTGTAGACGCTCCTTGTGCAAGAGCCTCTTCTGAAAAAAATGGTGGCTCATTAGGTATGCAAATGAGGATCAGGGTGTATTAGCATTTGCATAGGGGTGAAGGACTAAATGTAAGCAACTCTTCCTTAACCCGAGGCAGAAACATGATTGAATTGTATCTACGTTTTTGATATGAAGCCTTTTTGCTTTAGGATGTTAATTGTTAATATTGGAACACTTGGATATTGGTCCCGTCTAGACCCATCCTTGTGCTCCATTTATAGCTGTAATCTAACAGGGCTTATGGAGCACTTTAAATTCTGATACTTTATTTTTCTGCTGTTATCTGTACTGCAATTCCATTTTGCTTTTTTCCTCATGGCCTCTAAGTTGTTTTATTTCTTGCTTTCTTTGAACAGTTATAAATGTATTCATCAAAGTCTGGAGGATAACAACAGATGCCCCAAATGTAACTATGTTGTTGATAACATAGACCATCTTTATCCCAACTTTTTAGGTGAGTCTTAGGCTTATTAATTTGCATTAGAAATACCTTCTCAGGATAAGAATTTAGCAGCAGTGACGTTCTTGTCCTGTAAACTTAAAATCCCAGGTACAAAATCTACTCATCAGCCCTCAGTCACAAGACTGAGTGGGCAGCGGTGGGTAGAGTAAATTTACACAGCACCCCTGATGTCAATGGGACTATTGTGGTGTATAATACGTGAGGATCTGGCCCATTATTATTGGTGCTCTGTAAGAAGCAAAATGAAGACAGTAGAATAAATCTTTGAACTGATTTTCTTCTGCCTCTTACTTTATAGCCAAAACTATGGTATATTTACAAGTTGCAACCAATAGAAGATACAAGACGCCATGATACAATTTTACCTGGGATTTAGACTTGGATTGCAGGTGCCATGAAGAACCATATAACCTGTTAGATCTTAATTTTCCAATGTATTGCTATCCTAATGAATAAAAGTTTGAAGAATGGGATAAAGGAAGAAAAGAGAACTTGAGAGAAGAAAATTGACTATGAAATATTCCAGTGTTTGAGGAAAATGTGAACTTGTGTAGCTTTGTGTATTGAGCTGCTTCTTAAATTTTAAGTAAAATAATACTTGAAAGGTCAGAGTGACCTCAGAACACTTCAAAAGACATTTTCTCAAATCCAAATGTATTAAGTAATTCTATTTAAAAAAGTAGAATTCTTTCCTTGCCTCAGTAAGAGTTGGAACCAAGAATGACCGGCTGAACATTGCTAATCATGGAACTAGTCCATGTTGGGAGGAAAGAAGGAAATTCTAAATTGTATTAAAGGATATATGAAATATGTTTATCTAAATGACAGTTGTTTGGGGCTGCAGGCTTAAATATTTGTTTGGCCTATTTGCAGATTAGCAAGTGCCATCAGTGAATCTCTACCTCATTTCTTACTCTTTCTCTTTCTGGTTGCACTTTAACCCAGAGTAGAAACAATTTTTCTAATTAAATAATCATGGTAATTTAGAAAAGTTAGCAAAAGCAATTTTGGGAACTACACTTACGGGATTTTTTGTATTTTGTAACTTTACAGGTTGCATTCCCCCCCTTTTAAAAAAAAACAACTTCTTTCCCATATTGCTATCACAAAGACATGGTGAAAGTGACTAGGTAGGGGAATCAGTAAAACTGCTCGTAGATAATTCAGATGTTCCCAGTAATCTGAAAATATATTTTTAATGTTTCAGCTAAGTAAGAGTAACACTTGCTAGGTAAAACAGTCTTCAAGAAGAACTTTGGCTTTTTTAATGTTCATTAAGGCACCTACCCATTTCTTACATTAACATGTTTTTTTTTCTGATTTTCAGTGAATGAGCTCATCCTCAAACAGAAGCAAAGATTTGAGGAAAAGCGATTCAAACTGGACCATTCAGTGAGTAGCACCGTATGTTTCAACTCTTCTTACTTTGTTTTTATTAATGGTATTGGATGGGAATTGCTTCATAGCCTAGGTTAATGCAGGACAGATCTTACTATTGGTACTAGTATAAGACATTAAGGTCAAAAATGGTTACAAGAGAAATAGACACATCTTTCTAATAACCAAACTTAAACTAGACTTGATTCCAAGTAAAATCCTTATCACATGTTCCCAGCAACACTGCTAACCAGATTCTCAGGTCTGGATGCCTCCTTCCCCCTCCAAAAGTCAAAGGGCTTGTTCGTTTGTTATATTAGATGAAAAAGAGAGGGAAAGATCCCTGGGGTGTTTTTGCCCCTCGCTATTGCAGTCCAGTCATCCTTTATAGTGGAGCCTTCTGAGGATTGCCCTTCAAAGCAAAGTTTATTCACACTGTAAGGAGGGTGCTGTGGAGTCCGGAGGTGAAGGTGGCCCCATACTTGCTGCTCTCTTGCTCTGTATACTGAAACACAGATGTGCCTTTCCCTCTGGCTGTCTTAAGGACTCTGTTTGCTACTTCAGTGGAACTTGAGGCAAGCATATGTTCCTTTATTTAAAAGACAGACCTGTTCAACCATGCCTGCCTAATCAGGGCTGCGTCAGTCTGAACATGTGCTACCAACATCACATGGAGATTTTGTAACTTTACATCTAAGTTTGCTATGTATATTTCACCTGATATTGATCAGTGATTTACTTTTCAAATGATACCTCACAGAGCATAGTCTGGACAAAGATTATTACGCTGTGTGTGGTGTGAACAAAGGGGTGTAGTTAATCAGCATCTCCTCTTGTTTTCCCTTGGGAATTTTGATAGCACACTTATGAGACACACACCACTAGATGTGTGATCCATATAACTCATGGAAACTTACTGTCACGAGTGTATTCCAGAAATACTCATTTACATCTTGGCAGTAAATAAAAGTACTTAGGTGTGTGTGTGTGTGTGTGTGTGTGTGTGTGTGTGTGTGATTTTCAGTTTTGAAGAGATCTGAATTCTCATTTTTTAAAAAAGGGGACCTGCCTTAAGGGTTTTTGTTTGAGGGTCTTGCTTAATTAAATGACAATGTTGAGGTATCCCCAAATCTTCATGTACAGTTGAATTTTTTAATCTAAAAGCACTAGTACTGCCTAACAGATTTTGCCCTGTTGCTTTAGCAATTGTATAAGGCAGGTTTCTTGGGATAGAGATATGATAAACAAATGTGGTATATTTATCCATATTACATATGCATCTTGCACCTCAAGAAGTTAACTTTTTTCTTTAAAAATTTGAGTTCTTCTTTTATTCGACTTTTTCATAAATTTGCATATTCACTTTGATGTACCGATTTAGCAGTGTTCTTACTAGAATCCAGTATGTTGTATAAGATTTCAAGTCATATTGGCTTATTTCAAATCACATAGACATGTTTTAACATTACATAACTTTTTCCAGTAGTTGAGTTCCAGACTGAAATTAAGAACAGAAAAGATCTTAAACTATCTACTGAGCATCTTGTAAAAAGAAATATACTTTTATGTGGATGCTATTAATTTTTTTATGACTTAAATACTTCTGAGTAGGTTACTTAGAACACTTCTAAATTTAGATTGTTTGTTGACTTTGAGTTGTAAGAATTGTCAGTACTTTGAAATCAAAGGATTTGGTTGCTGAAACACTAAAAAAATTTGTCATGTCAGTTAATTCCACTTATACAAGTTGAGTTTATTTGAAAACTGGATCATTCCACAGGAAAAGAGTTGTCTGTAGAAATGGATTAACCACAGTGTAAAAAAGTGTTGCTGCTGTCCAGATAACATTAATTATTAAAGTATGGTTGACTTAAACAAGATCCCATTTCAACAATTTTATCTGAGATATACGCACTCTTAATGCCAATAGGCGGCTTGTAAGGTTAACTTTTTCCATTGTAAAGATTTTCAGCATGAGAGAATTGTGAAGGAGGAATGTAATCTATCACTTCAGAAATTAACTACTTGAAATGAAAATCTGGTTTTCTCTTTACTGTATACATTTACTATATTCTTGTTATGTTACTTATACTCAGTCCTGTAACACACATGCAGAGCAAAACTATAAACTTAATCGAGGGGAGGCATTGGGTTGATGACAGATTTTATCCCCAGTCCTGCAAATGCACATGCTTAACTGTAAATATGAGAGTAGTCAATAACTGAAGATTGGAGACATTGCACTAATTTCTTAGAAATTGCAGTGTAACAAAATATCTTGAATTAGTCATATAGTCCTAAAATTCTAAGTTAGTTTTCATCTGGCCTTGTTGCTGAATGGGATGTAAAGAGATTTTGTTTTAGCAAATTCCTGAATTGTTTTTAGTGACACCAGACTTGTGATGAATTCTGAAGTCTACCTTACTGCTCTACATACATTAGCATAAGACAATTCCTCAAAATACTTTCCCAGTTAAGTTGTTGGGATGTGATGCAACACAGAATACATGTTTTCTATACTTTTTTGGGAATTTTTCTTTCTGAAAACTACTTAAGATACTTCAGAGGATGAAATACTGCAACACTAATTTAAATATCTTGTGTCAAACAACTAATCTGTATTTACCTTCTTTCTCCTCTTTTCCTTTTCTTAGAATGGACACCGATGGCAGATATTTCAAGACTTATTGGGAACTGATCAAGATAATCTTGACTTGGCAAATGTTAACTTGATGTTGGAGCTGCTTGTACAAAAAAAGAAGCAACTGGAGGCAGTAAGAAGCTTTTCCTGTCTTATTTCATTTACCAATAAATTAATTGTGATTAATCACAGGTATCTTCTTTCCAAAACACATGTCCTTGTTTCTGAAGTGGACTCACCATACGGAATTAATCTATAGGGTTTTCTATAGAACCCCATTGCTCTAGTATTGAACATTTCTCCATTTCACTGATTTTTTTCATGGCAGCAGTCTGACTGGTATTGAAGTATGATGCAATAAATGCTTGTTTATGATTTCACTTGCGGTAGAGGAACATGCTGAAGGGGAAGCTGAGCATCAGTATTGAGGGCGGAGAGAGGGAATACAGAAAGTGACCTGCCATGCAAGTGGCTATTAGAGTACAATCTCTGTTTTTGATACAATTTGCTGAGTGAACATTTAACATAAAGATATGAAAAATTTGAAGATTTTACTAAACAATAATCCTTTAAGGGGAGCTTCACTCTGTTTACCAATTATTTGGACTGTGAAGCAGTTACTGTGAAACCAACTTTTAGCTCTTACAGCTTCCAATGTTAAGTCAAAAGAATTTGAGAGAGATCAGCATCTCTGAAAATCAGGCCTGTTCCCTCTTCATGCTTAAAGAAAAGCTGAAATTGTCTTGCTTGTCATAGCAGTATGAAAGTTCATGAGGTTATGAAGCAGTCTGTCACCAGGAATAAACAGCAGAACATTTGGGTTTTGTATAATTTTGCTGTAACTTTGGTGTTTGAGTATAATGCTATACAATTTTGTGATTAGCTCTTGTGATTTTCCTGGAAAATGGTCATCTGAAACCAGCAATGTGAGAGGAGACAGGCCTAACGTAAACCAGTCTATGAAGAAGCATGTATATGAGTTAGGGACATTAAACTGTGGTTAGCTGACAAATCGTGTAGTCGATATAATATGCAGGATGCCATTTGTAGTCTGCAGGAGCACCTCTGCAGTGCTGAAGCAGGGTAGCTCCAGAAGCTGGCTTGAGTGAGGACTACTCAGTCTTGGCTCATGCTGGCTCTGGGAGCCAGCTGCGCTGCAGCTCGACGTTTTAAATGTAGTAAAAACCACTGGGCTGTTACTATGTTTAAAATGCAGAGGCGCAGCATCCCGGACTAGTGCAAGCTGGGACTATTCAGTCCCAGCTCACGCTGAGTCCAGCAACCCCTGTTCCTGGCGGTCTGGGGCTGCTGCTGGAGCAGTGTCCCCTATTCCCACCTGTTGCCCCTGATAGAGGCAGCAGGGGGTGAGCGGGCAGGTGGCACCATGGAGCTGGTCCTGGGGGGAACTGGCTTTTAAGATGGCTCCCCCCAGCATTGGCTTACGTTCTCCCTCCCTTCTCCCCTCCCCGGTGCCTCTTATAGAGGCAGTGGGGTTGGGGAGGGGGAGTGAGCTGTCGATAATCTAGTCAACTACCTGATAAGCTTATGCTTCTCGGGTAGTCAACTAGTCAACTACTTGCTAACATCCCTAATGTGCTAATGGTCTAGATTTGGAGGTCAGGTTATATGGCGGTTTATACCTGGTTTGTCAGATGTGCTGGTGGTGGTATATATGTTAGCCTCCTTCAGGATCAATGAAGTCATGATCTATTGGTTTGGCTTTAGGCTCCTTTGGGGAAATTAAATTCCTTTTACATTTCTGGCAATAAAATTGCTGTAGTAAATGTAAAAGAGGTCTTTTTAAACATACTGTGTGTGGATTTGCATGTGTATTTACCTGTGTATAGAGAATAGACCCTCTGTGACTGTTTAACATTCGCCTTTGGGCTGGGGTCAGACTTGATAATAAATAGGTTTCCCCCCCTAGAAGCTGTGGATTGGCAATGTGAACACACATCACATTCTCCTTCTGTGAACAGAAACCTTTCAAGTGGAGTGTTTATATCTTGTTCAATTATAAGACTATCACTTTCAGAATAGACGCATCACCTAGGCATACGAATAGTAATGCTTCACTTACATTTTTGCTTATACCCATTCAGATTAAATAAGTAATGTGTTCTCTCTAAATTTTACTCACCTCCTTTTCTGGTTTCTATCATGGAAACATAGAACAGCAAAAGAACCAAACCGGAAAAGCACCTTTATCCCCTCTTTCTCAGCTGCTATTTTTTCCTTTAATGGACCCATGTTGCTCACTCCTTTGTCCCACCTTTTGAGTTCATTTTCAGACCTCCAGTAAATTAGATTTTCTAAGGTCTGTGCAAATTGCTCTGCCATGTGCTAGTCTAGTAGTATTGCTATACTGATGTTAGGCATAGGAAGAGAATCTGCATTCCTGTTTCCCTCTTGCTCTTCAAGTTTCTGGTCATTGGAGAGGAAAATGTAAGGAATTAATTTATTTAGGAAACTGAAACACCTCTTTTCTTTCCCAAAACCAGCTAATCTTCGCTATGAATTTATTTTCCATTGTAGAAGCTATCTTTTTGTGCTTCTGTGCAGTGTTCACTTGGGGAAAGGGATGTCATTTTCTGAAACTAAATTATTGCTGTTGAGCATGTTGATTAGAGGTGAAAGTTCAAGATCTACCAGCAGTGGAAGATGAGAAGATATGTGAGCAACCTTTTCTCTAAAAGGGTGTGGACTCACTACAAGCAGGGCGGGAGTGAGTAATGTGCTTTGCTTGTTAACCGCCTGTCATGCACTAAGGGGGAATATTCATGACATAATATAAAAATTTGCTGGGGGCCAACCCAAACTTTGAAATCTATGAAGCAAAGGAAAACCACCTTGTTTGTAATTGCGACTTACTGTGCTGCTCCTTTCGCCTACTGCTCGTTCAGTAATTTATTTGTATACATGCTCTGAATGCATAAAATTAATCTGTTGTTTCTCTCTCAACTTATCTTCTTGTACAGGAGTCCCATGCTGCCCAACTACAGATCCTTATGGAATTCCTCAAGGTTGCCAGGAGAAATAAAAGAGAGGTAGCAGATATTTTTTGGTTTTGTTATTGCAAGGCATTTTCCTTCTATTAAAAAAAAAAAAAGGTAATCTTGAAATATTGCCTCAGTGGAGAAAATTCTCACCTGTAGACGGATATTTGAAATGCATGGATTTCAAGGACTATAGATTAGATTAGATATGTCAGCTTTGATTTCTAACCAATGTTCCCTTTTTTTTAAACATATTGTGGGTTGCGAGCACGTGGAGAAGGGAAATTGTCAAGGAAAGTGTGCCCAATGGCAACTTGCAGCAAATTCTTGAAACAAGATGCAAGTGTGAGGGGAAGATGGAAAGTGAGGGAAGGAAGGCTGGGAGGCTCTTTTAAAGTTGTTTCCAAAATTTATTAAAAAAAAAAAGTCACTGCTAATTTCACTTATGCAATACCAAATTGGGGTAAGTAGTAAAGATTGGTCAGAACGTAGAATTAATATAAAGATTTTTTTAATATATAGGCACATGGGATTTTAAAAAGAAATTAGCAGAAAATAATGCTATTTAAAATAGGAAGAGTAAAAGGAAGGTATTACAGAATCATGTAAAAAGTTCATTACATGGATAATCAAAAGTAGGTGAAGAGGGACTTAGTGCCATAAAGGAACAAGAGACACAGAGATGATATGGACATTAAAATTGATTTCTGCCAACTTATAGCATTACAGACTTCTATTTCACGTGCACTTTATCCCTTACTTGAGAGTTGATGTGTAGATATGTCCCAAACTGTGGAAGTATCTTGTTTCTTAAATATTTATAAAGCATGCCCCCTTGTGTTAAACCAGTTTTTCTTAAACATTTTAATGCACAATTTAAAAGAAGGGGGGGGGGAACTTTGTTCAGAAGTAGGTTCATATTGGGTGTTGGCAGAGCTTGCTTTGGTTCCTGTGTTTAGCACCTTTCTATTTTGTCTTCAGAATCTCTGCTTTCACCTTTTAAGTAAACGAAAACCTCTAGCTCTTCTAATTGTGGAGAGAATGTAAAAACATTGAATCAAGATAGGTCTTCACTGGGCAATAAACTTGACTGTTACTCCGACATGGCCCCCGCACTCCTCCCATCCACCCTAATCCTTTCACCAATGTTTGATGCTTTCAAACCAGGTCAGCTGGCTTGTCTGGGGCTATAGGTTAAAACCCAAAGGAGGGTTCCAGTTGGGCTGGGAAACCTGCTTTGAAGTGAGAACGTATGGCTAAACTATGTAGGTGCTAATAGTCATACAGTGCCTTCCTGCTGTTCTTCCCATGTGCCTTGAAGGCCAAACAAGTCCTCCCGAAAGAATTGGAGTAGCTCAGCTTGCAGCAGTACAAAGAATTCTTAGCAATGCACACGGGTGAATAGGGCATCAGGGAGGACACAGTAATTCTAGTGCTACTTTTTCCTGTGGTTGCACACTGCCAAGTGAGTCTAGCCTTGAGTGTTGGTCACCTGGGTTAAGTTGGCAGTGGAGGCAAGTCTAATTATTATTTCTAGTCTAATTATTTTAGATACGGCTATTGGGAGCAGCCCCATTCATCCAAGTGAGGTGCTAATTCAAAAGCCAACTGATGATTAAATGTCAACATTAAGTATTTCATTCCTCATGTAATAAAGGAGAGGGAAGTTCACAGAACTGTCCAGCTTCCTGTGAGGGCCACAAGCTAAATGAGTCAGTGTGACACTTGCAAAAAAAGCAAAGATGATTCTGGGATGTTGTGAGCAAGACACGAGTAATAATTCTTCCGCTCTACTCGGCGCCGATTAGGTCTCAACTGGAGTGTTGTGTCCAGTTCTGGGCCCCACATTTCAAGAAAGATATGGAGAAATTGGAGAAGATCCAGAGAAGAGCAACAAAAATGATGAAAGGCCTAGAAAACGTGACCTATGTGGGAAGGCTGAAGGAATTGGGTTTGTTTAGTTTGAGAAGGGACATGATAGCAGTTTTCAAGTATCTAAAAGAGTGTTACAAGGAGGAGGGAGAAAAAATTGTTCTCCTTGGCCTCTGATGTTAGGACAAGGAGCAGTGCGGTTAAATTGCAGCAATTTAGGACACGAGGAAAAACTTTGTAGCTGTCAGGGTGGTTAAACGCTGGAATAAATTGCCTGGAGGGGTTGTGGAATCTCCATTATTAGAGATATTTAAGAGCAGGTCAGACAGACGCCTGTCAGGGATGATCATTCTAAATGGTACTTGGTCCTACCATGAGAGAAGGGGACTGGACTTGATGACGTCTCAAGGTCCCTTCCAGTTCTAAGCATTTTATGATGATATGCCATCAGTAGGTGGCCATTTGGGAAAGTCTAACCACATTTTTCCCCCGTCTCCCAATGAGGTGAAAAGAACTTGTTGGCATATTAAAGGCTCAAACTGAAGATCCTTACTGGAGTTGAGAGGGCATGTAGCTATGTTTTCAGTGTCTCCAGTGGTACTGCGACTGTATCTAATTTTGGCAATTCTTATGGGAGAGCTTGTTTTGTGGGTAGAACTTGGAAGAATATCACCACCTTCCCCTCACCCTCAATTTCACCCTGGTCTGGGTAAAAATGTTTGAAGTCGTAATGGAGAAGTGGCTCCTATCTATGTCTACATTGCTATTCAAGACTGCGGCTGGCCCTTGTCAGCTGACTTGGGCTCAAATTACAGGGCTGTAAAATTGGGATGTAGCTGTTCAGGCATGGACTGGAACTTGAGAGGGGACCACCAAACACCCGCAGTGCAGTTTTACAGCCCCCAGAGCCCAAGTTAGATGATGAAGGCCAGTTGTGGGTGTCTAATTGTAGCCTTACTGTACTTTCAGAGCACAGTGGTACTTGGAGTAGAAAAGGAGTTCATTTTCTGAAGCGTTGAAACTCTGTTTTGACTTGTTGCCATAATTTGATATTCCTGTCAGATAGTATATTGCTTGGAAATGACATTTCCTAACCTGCCCCTACAACGATAATGTTGCAGGATTTTCTAAACCAAGGTTGATTTTTTGCTCCATAACATTGATGTTGTGGTTCCTAGACAAGCTAGAGGGTTCCTAGATTGACGCTGTACACTTGCTAAGATCTATTAGCTCATTGATATAAATCTTGCTTTTGCATCTTTATTGGAATTTGTGAATTTTTTCTAATGTGTCATTAGTCTTTTACATTTAATTAGGGAGGTCTCTTTTCCCATGTGTCATGTGAGAAGTATTTTTCAGCAGGTGAGTATCCCAGAGTAAACCTTCCATTCTGCACACATTTTTAAAATGCTGCAAATTGTATTTCTCAATTCACAGTACATAATCATGCCAGTTTTACTTTGTTTTGCTCATTCATTTCAAAATGCCTGGGCAAGTATGTGTCTGTATTGTGACAGACATACACATTTCCCCAGAAGTAGAGAATTGAAGAAATCCCTATAACAATCCAGTTCCTGTTTCTCTGTCCCTTGCCCTACCCCACCCCTAGAGCCAAGTCAGGGGGCCAGACACAAACAATCCCTCCTCCCCCAAGAGCCCATCTGTGGGGCCTCCCTGACCCAGATACTTGCATTCTCCCCTTCTTTGCTCCCTCCCCCGTTCAGGGATCCAGAAGGAGAAACAGCCTGATGCTTGTGTGTATTTCCCTGCATGCTGGCATTTCCTTTCCACAGGGTATGCTGGGGTCTGCAACTGTCAGGAACATCTTTAGCTCCCTTTCCCGACCCTGTCTTCTATGTGAGAGCTGGGCTCTTCTGGATCCGGCGGGCGGGATTGGAGGCTAGCAACACTGCAGCCCATTTCTGTGGGGCAAAGTAAATTCTCCATGTATAACATTAATTTTTTGCAAAATTCTGCATTGTGGGGTAGTGCACAGTTCCCCCAGGAGTAAATCCTGAATGTTGCACAGATTTGCTTTGCTAAAATTGTTGAGCACAGGGGTGGGCAAAAGGTCCTTCATGAGCTGGATGCGGCCCACCAAGTGGGTGAATCTGGCCCGCATAGGCCCTGATGCTTCCCGGCACCCAGGCCAAATTGGGCCTGGGGGAGGGAGCGTGCGCAAAGCCGCCTCCCATCCTGCCAGGACCATGTGGTGCTTTGAAGCGCCATGTGGTGCTTTGAAGTGCCGTGCGCTGCTCGCTGGGGGGGGAGGGGGCAGAGCAGAGGAGGCTTCGTGCACTCCTCAGGCCCTAATTGGCTTGGGAGCAGGGGAGCGTGCGAAGCCTCCTCCCACCCTGCCAGGAGCACGTGGCATTTCCAAGTGCCACGTGTTGCTTGCAGGGCAGGGGAGAGCGGAGGAGGCTTTGCGTGCTTCCAAAGTGGCCCCCAGCAAAAAATTATTGCCCACCTTTGGTTAGCATTTCAGAATAGTCATCTTTCTGTCTCCTCAGTGTCTCTCAACCTTTTTGTTCCTTTCCTATAATGAAGATATGAAATGGTAGAAATAAGGATTGTGCCATAATCAGAAGGAATTAGAAGCATGAATTCTCCAGGGTTGTGATTTAGCTCTTGCTAATCACTTTACCTGTCAAACCTTATACTTAATATCTACACACGTGGAATGGATAATGAGTAGGCAAGGGGAGATGACAAAGCTAGAAATCAATCATTCTCTGATGTCACAAATTCTTGATAACATTCCAAAACTTCTGAGATGGATTTATAGGTATAATAAGGCTTTTCTAGCCCATGTCATTTAAATAACTGAGCTTTTAGCTTATTTACATGTATTGCTTTTTAATGAGGGATGTTAGAACTCATTTGCTTGACAGCATGCCAAGAAAATTGCTAGTATTTAGGGAACAAAATAAAAGACGTTTTAATCGGTTGTTGATACATGTTTGAGTGACTTGTTTTGGTAGGGCTTTTTTTCCTCAAATGAGAAATTGGCTATATGTCATCTCATACTGAAAGATCTTATTTTACTAATGTATATTGATATATTAAGTGCTCAGAGTTGAATACTTTTGTAATACAATTATAAAATGGTTTATAATGGTACTTAGTTATGTTGTCATATTAATATAACCAAAACTAAAGTCTCACGAACTATTTATACC